TCTTTACCCTTGAGAGAAGGTATGACTAGCTGATGATGGCTTATAAGCCAGAAAAGGTCATTTCGGTCTCCCTTTGCTTTGTCGGATCCATTTCATCATATCACCGTAATCACTATGTGACGGTCTGGAGGGTTCACTTTGGAGCTCCTGGGCAAAGTGGAAGTTAATTGTTCCTCAACTATATCGGCGAAGCACATATCTATGGAATGGCTTCGACGAAGCAAACGGAGACCGGAATGATCATTTCTGGCTTGTTAGCCATCTTCAACCAGTCATGCCCAACCTTAAGAGTTGGAACCCCCGAGATTCGAAACCAGGACCTTTAGTCAGTTAGTTTAACACGGGCTCATCGCTTTGTTGTTTGAGACCAGGCTGACTGACTAATGACAGCTAACAAGCCAGAAATGGTCATTCCGTTCTCCATTTGCTTCTTCGGATCCATTCCATCATATTAGCACAGTGACCATGTGACTGCCTGCGCGGGCTCTAATTTTGAGCTCCTGGGCAAAGTGGAACTTAATTGTTCCTCTACTAGATCGGCGAAGCACATACATTCACATATACATTAGTCGCCACTGATCACGCAACAAAGTCAAATCTGCATGAAAACTGTCGTAGCTCGCAAGGTGTTTACCTAACGGACCCACACGTTATATTGCGTGAAAGGAAAGATAAATCCGTAAAAGGAGACATATTTCGATGTATGAAGTATTATTTATTATCTAAGAACTAATATGTTTTACCGAAAACTGTCAAATCTAAAAAAGGGCTGTAGGACAGGTCGGAGGTAAAAAGTCGCTACATAAAGGACAAACGTGTTAGAAACTAGGATAAAAATGCAAAATGAGAAAAAGTAATAAATATATAACATACTTATATTTGGTTGAATGTCCTTTAGCGTTTATAACAGCAGTACATCGCGTGGACATAGATACAATCATGTTGTCAATTACGGTTTGGTCTATATAATTATTAAGAACGAACTCCAATTTATATCCGCTTAATTAAGGTGAATAGATTTTCAATTGGATTGAGGTCGGGACTATTGGGCGGAATGAAAATTGTTCGCAGGCCGCATGCAGAAAGGCTGGCTGCAGTCTTGAAAAATTAGATTATAGTCGTAAGGTTAATTTTAATCATACCTCCTTTGATCGGTGAGCAGGGGCATTGTCTTGTAATATAATAGTATCCATGCGGCGCCTGTGAATGGCATTATAACCAAATGCAGTATGATAGTATCCATTCGACGCCTGTGAATGTCATTATAACCAAATGGATCTTTGACAATGTTGACGTAGACGGAACTATTAATATTGTCTTTCGTCGACCGCCAGATTGGTCGTTCACCGAACTTGATCGCCATCCACAATGAGGCGTCGACAGTTCTTCAAGTTTGATATCGCAGCAGTCTGTTCTTCAGGGAAGTTCTTTCCGCATATGACCGCATGTGCTAGCTTTGTCAACTTGCCTTAGAAAATTACTTAATCACAGAAAGAAATACCTTTCCAAAATGAAAGTCTGCGACTAATATATTCCTGTGCAAATAGGAAAAGTTCCCTGAAATGTTTTCTACTTAAAAATGGCTTAACCGTAGCCATCTGCCGATGCAGGCCGAATTCCCGCATTCTGTCCCTAACTAGGGTCTGAGAGAAAATTGACAAATGTTTCCTGTGAATAGCGCTAACGGGCATATAATGATATATTTTTAGTGTTCGACGAATAAAATCGTCATCCGGTTTTTTTGTAGATCGTTTTGCTCCAGAATTATTCCTTCTGGGCACTGTTTAACCGTTAAGAATTCTGCATACGG